TTATATTATCATATTTTTAGATCTTCTTTCATCACATTTTAATTATATTACACATTGGATAAATTATTTTATATACATATTTTTAAGGCAAGATTCTATATGCCAAAATAATGTAAAGATAAAGGCAATTAGGCATAGCATTATAAAATAAAATGTGCATTCATGGTGATAAAATGGTTTTCTATTTGTCACCTTAATGTATCACCTTTCCTCTACCAAGCTCCCATTTGGGATTTGGAACTTACAACAACACTGTGAGGTACATTAAACTGAGTGGTAGAGACTTGCCAAAGGTCAAATCTATGAGTTAAATTCTAGAATGGGAAGTAAAACTCAAGTATACCCAGCGTGCCAAAGACTCTCATTCTTAAGTTTCTTTTAAATGTTAATACATTAGACTTTGGGATAAATTCATAGGTTAGAATGACTTAGTACACATATAAGGGCAGTAAAATAAGCCAAACATCTGCTTTTCCAAGGCAAAAGCAGCTTCAGGAGGAAGTAATCTGAAGAAGAAAAACTGCTGAGGAAAAGCATATTTAAATCTTTCTTTGTTCACTTCTACCCCCATAGGAACATATATTTTAAAAACTGTAAACTTATCTGCTGAAAAAGCCTCTCAGGCACATTCTGGGGAAGTAGGAGAAGGAGGTAAAGAGTAAGGAGTTCCATCACTTTCCGTGGCTTTTCAACTACATATTGGTGTTTATTCCAACTCTGTGTATGAAATTACAGTCCAATACTGAGGTTTTTTTAAATAAATCACATTCTAAGGGGCACACTAGTTATATCTGGAATTTCAAAAGTTTATTTCGTTGATTTTTAAATAGTCTTGGGAAAGGAGAATTACTTTTTGGTAGGTCAGGCTGGGCAATGCGGCACTGGCCTACCTGAAGAGGCCCTATGATGAAGGGATAGATGTATGGCAAAAATGTTTCAGTGATGTAGCAAAATAGTTTACCCATTGGACCTAGTGGAGGGAGCAATGCCACCTGGATTCCATTTTAGGCTCCATAATGTTTATTGACACCTTGTTTCAAGCCACAGCCTTAAGAAAGAAAGTTCTCTTTTCCTCTAGAACTATTTCCTCTGCTATCTTGTGTGTGTGTGTACACAATGTTCAGTCCTAGATCTCTTTTGCTACATGTAATTTAGTCTGCCCCTGAAAGATAATGTTAGCTGTCATATTAGCTGAGATGCCTGCTTAAATGTGTGACAGTGATATATGGAAGGAATCATATACCATTTTACCAAGCAGATTCATTTTAATACTAGTAATCATTGTTTTCAACCACTTTGTGCTGCCTGAGAGAAAAAGAAAAGAAAAGAAAAGAAAAGGAAAGGAAAGAAAAGGAAAGGAAAGGAAAGGAGATACATATGTTTTGTAAGCATCTGTTCTCAAGATTGGGGATGACATTCCAGGAGGTCATTAATCCTCTTTTCCTATAACATTATCCAGATGGTACATGTTATTGTAAGGCATCTGAAAACCAACTTCTTTCATTTTCTTTCTTATGGGAAAATGGCTTTAAAGGCCATTGGCAAGTGCCTGCATGCTAAGTTAATCAGGGAAGCAAGACACACAAGGAAAATTCTCATGTTCCATAAAGGTTAGCTAGGTTAGCCTATGGAGCAAAACCAACAGTCTACTGTGCTACCTTAAAGGCCAACATATCCATTATGGCATAAACATTTTATGGATCAGCGAAATCAGGTCTAGCTTAGATTAATAATATATGCAATAACATTTATATAATTACAAATGTGTTGGTGTTAAATGTGTCACAGGAATGGCTATGTTTAGATGAGGACATTGACGCAGTCAGATGCTGTTCCGGGGGAAATATTCTTCCCATGGACTAGCAGCATACAAGGATGGACATCTTTTTTGTAAGAAAAATCTTATTGGTGGCATAAATTGGGGTTGGCAACAGTGTTGGAACAGGCTTCCTTCCACTTTCTGTTCTTCCTTCACTCCCTCATTTGGCCATCGTGGATGAAAAATAAAACAAACAACAACAGCCCTGATTTTTGTGGGGCCACAGAGATTTAATCTCTGTGCCAGTAGTAGAAAGCAAAAGTTAATCTTCTGTTAACTATCTCAACCCTATTCAGATGGCATGGCTGAGCAGAGGAGTAGCTTCAGAGGACTACAATTAGACCTTCTAGCCCCCTTAACACTAATTATGGTGTTTGCACAACACATTAGCCCTACTTTACTCAGTTAAGAGTGTTGTTCAAACTCAACCAACTATTCATTGTAACTTGTGCTAACTTGAAACATGGAATAAACAGTACAACATTATTTTATCCAGAGTTATAGAACAAAAAGTAAAATCTGCATAGATTAATTACAATGAACTGAGTTACCCATTAATGAAGATCTTGTTAGAGTTAGTTTGGCCACATATACTGACAGTAAAAATGATCTCATCTGTAATGACTCATTGTTCCACAATTTTTATATACAGGTCTTTGCCCTAATAATGTGAATTTTTTGAATTATCTAAAAACAAACTTCGCCAGGAGCAAGATTTGAATGTCCCAGAATTACCTAATTAGATGCTTACAGGATATTCTTGTTATTCAGTATGTTGCCCTTTTTATCCTGTACTTTTTTTTTAGATTTTTTTATCACGCCTTTATTATTTTTATAAATAACTCAAGGAGGCAAACATGCTTAATACTCCTTCCTCCTCCTATGTTCCCTACAACAACAACCTTGTGAGGTGGGTTCGGTTGGGAGAGGGACTGGCCCAAGTCACCCAGCCAGCTTTCATACCTAAGGTGGGATTAGAACTCCTGGTTTCTAGCCTGGCTCTTTTGACATTTATATGGTTGCAAAACAAAGAAACAAGAAAACTAAGCAAGTGTATGGCTATGTTCAAGATCCATTGTCCTCTCCTACAGCAATATCTAACATTATGATAAGGAAATGCAATAGAGGGCAACCCAGAATAACACTGACTTTTAGGAATGTGTTAGCTTTGCAACTCCCACTGCATTGATGCTCTGTTTCTGCTATTTCACAGGACAATTCTTCTGATTTGGAGATCATATGTTCTACTTGTTTTCTAATCAATTTGGGGAAAAGGAATGCAACATTATGAAACTGCCTCTTTCATTCAATGAATGGCTTATTTGTCAAGAATCCAAAGGAGCTCCATCACTCCTAATCTCTACCCATCATTAATCATGAAACCCATGCACAGAATTAAGAAAAGACTGGTCATGAGATGACTTAAACATATGTGCTAGTAACTAATAATAGTGACCTTTAGTTTCACACTATTTTCAAAAGCAATGAATTGCCCTGGAGGCTAACATTTCTTTTCATATTAACAAACTGCAGCATCCTGCACCAAGTACTAAATTCTGCCACTCACTTCTCAACATGATCTCTTTCAAAAAGGCTTTGCCTTCTAATTAAGCTTGCCCTTCCTTGAAAATATATATTGTTTTCTATTATTATTTTTATTAGCAATAACTTCAGCACATGTTTTGCATTTTCAATAAAATACTAACAATGTTTACTTTAGCTCAAAATGAATTATATAGAGTTTAATTGAGTTTCATTTATTCTCACACTTTATTTATTTAAAATCATACTTCACAAAGCAAGCACTGGATTGGATTCCCAACTCATGTTTGACTTGCAGTATTAATTCTAGAGTGCAGAAGTTATACATGATAGAACTGAGATATGAGGATGCCTAACCAACCAACAATTCTCATCATACACACGTACGTGCGTGTGTGTGTGTATTTCTCCTCCTAACTCCAAACTGAAAAGAAATGAGCAGAGAGAAAGAACAGCAGCTGAGAAAATAACAGTCTTGGAAGACATTTGCAGGAGTGAATTGATAAAGATAGATGGTTTCAGCACCTGCTTATACTTGCTGATGATCCCCTACAAATGTCTCAACATCACTCCCTAATTCACAGCAAATGGTGGATATCTGTTCAGTGAACACATCTGCTTGAAAAAAATGCTTAGTTTTCTTGCTGCCAATACATGCATAAAGAATAAGACTTTCTGAATCTCGGCAAGGGAAGGTGTTTGTAGAAGGATAAAAATACCTCAGAAAATCTAATAGAATACATTTCAGACAAATCCTTCTTAAATATTCCAGTTAGTCTGTTTGAGTACAAGGATTCTTGCACTCAAGGATATAAATTACTTACTCAGAGGTGAAGGAACCTAGATGTATTTTGTGGGTGCTAATGGCACACTCGCAATAATACACCAGGAAGCAATTTGCAAATTATTCAACCCAGAGCTTCAGAGTATGTCCATACTAATGTCAACCCAGGAATAATGGAGTATTACATATGAGTAAGCCTCATGTAAGTCAATGGGGCTTTTTTTGACTTGATATACAAGTCTAGCATCACATAGTGAGTATATCTAGAGGCCAGACGTTGCCACTATTTCTGATATTTGTTTTATTAGCTATTTTTATTTCCTAAAATAAAATGAATGCATTTATTTTGCCCTTTAATCCCTCCAATTCAATCTGTCCCAAAAGGACAAGAGACACCCACTCCACCCACTCTGATGACATAATCAGCTCACAGTCAATTTCCCCCCTCCATTAAAGTCTAATCTTTTCTTAATGAAAGTGTGACCTTTAGCTACTGCGACTCAGTCCACTAATGAAAAAGATAGAGAGGTTAGTGTGCTTGTAGCAGTTCTGTGGAGTGTTGGAGAACGAGTGAGCCTAAAAGTCAGCATGGAGAAGATAAGCTTTGGAAGCATGGTATTGGCCAAGGAAGAAAGAAGACGGTTGCTTAGGCCTTACAGTTTTGTAACTGTCCCTAGATTTGTATAGTTTTGGTGGTTAAAGTGCTATATAGATGTCTTTAATTAATAGGGTTTTAGCTGCAATTCATGGACAGTTATCTAGAAGTAATTCCCATTCCATTCCATCTGACTTGTTTCAGTCAGTATGCAGACCCATGCATGTATTGTAAGTTTCTTTTCTTTTTCTTTTTTGTAGGCCCAGAATACCTTTCAGGGTGGAATCTGGGACTGACTGATCCTGCATTAAAATCCAGGATTGTTTTTATACCCTGAGGTAGGTAAAATGAGTCATACTTAAACCTTCTATAGTGATATTTGTAACTTCTTTGTAATTGGGAAATAATATATTAGTGCCAAGGGATTAGATTTGTTCCTGTACTGGAAGTTTCTTACTATCTTCCCTTTCAACAGAAGCCTATCTCTTCTCAAAATAAAGTCAGCTAGAATATTCTTGGGTCTGATTCACATTTGGAAACCAAGTGATCAGATACTGTTTTGCTACTACTAAATAAGAATGAAATCCAGTTCAATGCATTTCCTGTGGTAAGAGCCTAAACATTCACACTGTCTTCTGATAGACTGGAGGAATCCTTCATGCTTATTTTAAGGACAGGCAGAGGCAGGCATAAAAGAAAACACTGCATCTCCCGGATTCGGGTGCTGGAAATAGTTTTAGCAGCAGAATGACTACATTGTATTTTTCTTTACCATTACACTGCATTAATAATAATAGATCACACCAGTATTTTATAGATTGATAACTGTAGATTTACAATAAAAAGATTAAGCCAAGTTAAAACTAAGACTATTAAATTGTACATAAATTACCACCAATTAAAACTTCTAAAAAGTGATATGATATTAAGGCCTGAAGAAACAAAGAGATTAGATTTTGCACCTCAGAAACAATATATTCTAAAGGACTGGAAAGCTACAGGAAAGTTCAAGCATAAGCTGCCGTTAAATGAGCTATGGGCTATTGTAGGTGTTGGGTCCAGCCAATCGACCCTAATTATCAGGTTCGGGACTTGGTGCGAGGTGAACAGAACACCAAGATGAAAATCAGACTTTTTCTCCACTTTATTTCAGAGCTCTAAATAAGTTGGAGACTCCCAGCAAAAGGAGGGAGTCCTGATTACAGATTTTACATAGCTTATATACA